GTGTTGGCTAGCGATCTGCGAAAACCAGAGATCGATATCTCTTTCTATGGGGGAGTTATTCAAAATTTAGTCAGGGACATTGCTTTTTGAAAACGATAATAGAACAAAGAAAAAGGTTCAGAAACTGGTACCGAAAAAAGATTATGTATGACACGTTTTTTTTTACTAAGTACCGATTTGATACAGTTACCGGTTGACCAGTCATCGTCACCGTTGCATCCCTAGCTCACAGTATTAGTTAAAGGAGTTCTTAAAAACAATTTCTTGTATGCAGCTTGATAGAGTTTTTTGTGTGCTACGAGTTTATATATTTTACGTTTTCAGTCATCTAATATTAGATTAAAAAAAGGTGATTTCTTCTCAGCTTGACACGGTCGTTTTATTATACCAAGGTTTGGAAAGTGATAGCGGATTTGTGAGAAATCGTTTGATCCCGTGCTAACAAAAACACTTGATTTTTTCCAGTGAAATATGATAATTTCTCTGTATTCTGTAGAAAACGACTTATTGGTATTGGGTCGATTGTATGATCCTCTGCTTTTTGCCATCGGAGCGTCCCTGTTTGCTACTGTCATATTCATTCATATCTGATTTCTTCTAAGTATTATTAAATCGTTGTCAATATTAACCTGTGTCAAGCAGACGCGCTTGTAATTGGATAAATATCGTGTTACACATCGCCCAATATTGCGATCGTATAACTCCGTGATCGTATGCGCAGAAACACGACCGTTTAGGAACAAACAAAGCTCATCTCCAGTTTCATTTTGCTTTGTATTTCTTTGTATACGATCATATATCTCCGTTGGGGATATACGGTAGTCCAAAATATGGTTGTAAACGGAGAATCTTGGAAGAAGAGGGTAACTTTATTTTGAAAGTAAATCAATCGCATAAGGTAATTTAGCAGCACACCAGGGATCTGTGATCGACACAGCAATTTTGAAGAATCAGATATTATTAGATGCAACATAAAAACTTTTATCGGTGTCTGATAAGCAGAAATCTTTAGTTAATGACATCATACTGCCGGAAGCTATCTTGCCGAAGAAATCCCATCTGATCTGACAGGGTTCTAGGGTAGGTCTAGTCACCTTGAGAACTTCCTCTCGCGTTGACGCATGCGTTACTCTGCGAGCAAGGAGAAACAGCGAATATTTCGGTCATGAAGTCTGATGAAGTTCTTCGGAGTCTTCTGAAGTCTCTTGAAGTCCTCGGAAGTCTTAAGTAGTCTATTGAAGTCTCATGAAGGCTCATGAAGTCTTCAAGAAAGCTTGAAGTCTCTGTGATTGAAGTCCCCGAAGTCTGTTGTTTCCACCTTGGCTACGAGTTAGCTATCTAGTGCTAGACTCACATCACAGGAACACTTTTGTTCTGTTCTGGGAATTGGATCCTTTGACAGAGCAAAATGTTCCTTTTTGGGGAATAAACCATTAACGAGTTCATACTAGCTTACAGCTCAAGGGAGTTAGAGCTCGTTGAAAAGCTAATGTCCTTCACAGTTGAAACGCCATCACATCCCCGGAGTCCATCAGACTCCATCGAATCTCATAGGATCTTTTATTTTACCTTCTGAGTACACCACATCAGGTGACTCCACTTGACTCCAAGTGACTGCACAAGACCGGGATCCCATCTAGTCTGCTATTTCTGTCGTGGGCTCCACCCTATCACCTGATTCCACCTCATCAATTAACTCCAATGCATCAAGTGACTTCACTTGACTCCACTTGACTCCAAATGACTTCATGCGTCTGGAGTCCGCTGTTTCCCCCTTGGATAAATATCACCAGAAGTCGGAGAAATCAGTTTGTTCTCCCTTGTGCTGGTACACAAGTATCATCAATTAGCGAAATGGATACCACATAGATCTGTAAAACCGTAGTAACTGACAATGGAGGTATTTGTGTTGTCCGTTAAAAAGACGGTGATAAATATCACCAGAAGTCGGAGAAATCAAGAAGCTATGTATATCTGTTCCTTTTTACGCCTGATTAATGATCTGAAACTACGGAAACGTTTTAGGAGAGTTTTCATAATCAAAATCCATAATCCATAATCGAGAGACGTCATAACCCAATGAAAACTCAGGTTTGAAATTAAACTGCTGAATAAATGTCTTGAATCGTGTAAGTGTAACTTGAGAAAAATCAAAACTTTTTTATTTGTAATAAATAGTAAAATAATGCAGTATAGAATGTTGATTCTTCTCAAGTTACACTCACATGATTTAAGACGTTTATTCAGTAGTTTAATTTCAAACTTGAGTTTTCATTGGGTTATGACGTCTCTCGATTATGGATTATGGATTTTGATTATGAACGATTTATGGATTGAATTAAAATGTTATTGATCCATTTGAATTATGGTACTGATGATGACCGCATTTACCAGCTTATTAAAAACAGTCAACGGTCGAAAATAAGAAATAAAAGGAAAAGTTTCTTTCTTATTGCTTCATCTTACTATTAACTTGACTGCTTATACGAAAAAGCTATGGTGATTATGAGACATGTCTAATGGTACCGAAGCAAGTGGCAGATAGTAAGACAAATATACAAAAACAATTCATACAATTAAGCAGGAGTAACGACACTATGATATACAGGGTGTCCCAAAAGTCATTTAACAAAAATAATTTCGTATAACTCCACTATGCATAAAACTTAATCGCTTATTTTTTTCCATATGATGGGTAACATAGTCAAGTTTTTATTCATGCGGACAAAGTTCAAAAATATTGCTCAAAGGTATCACTTTCGGCCGAAATACAAAAATTTGTTTTTTCCCCGAGCTATGATTATTCTAACAAGCGAAGTTTCACCAACTGATGAGAGGTTTTGAACCCATCTTTTATTCATAACTAGGGCTATGTTGGTCCAGACAGCATCCAAAAGAATTTGTATTTATTTGTTATACTTATCGAGTTATTACTGTTTTATATACAAAAAAGTTCAGGTGAAAATGCGTTCATTCGACGTTTTTCGAAATCGAAAACTCAGTATAATAGCAATAACTTGCTTAGAACAATATATGAAGACAGACCCTTTTGCATTCTTTCTAGTATCGTATAGCCTTAGTTATGGGCAAAAAATGGGCTCAAAACCTTTAATCAATTGGTGAGACTTCGCTAGTCAGAATCATAGCCGTTGCATCATGCCAAAATCAGAAGAGTAAATTCATTGAAGGAGGATGATTTCGAAAAAGTTCTAAATAAATCGTTTGAAAAAGGGTATTGCATGTATATCGCTAACACTATGGCTTCGAATATTTGATGGAATAAAAACTTGAATCCCTTTTTTTCATTCGAGATCATGGTACTTCCGGTATGATCTAAGTATTTTTAAAAATCGAAAAAAAACAAATTTTTGTATTTCAGTCGAAAGTGATACCTTTGAGCAATATTTTTGAACTTTGTCCGCATGAATGGAAACTTGACTATGTTACCCATCATATGGAAAAAAATAAGCGATTAAGTTTTATACATGGTGGAGTTATACGAAATTATTTTTGTTAAATGACTTTTAGGACACTCTGTATATAAAGTAATGCCGAACATCAACTCGTTCTTTTTTCTATTACAGGAACTAAAAGATCGTAGTATGGATCACCCTCACCTGTACAGCGAGAATACAGCTGGAAATAATGGAACACACAAGTGGTGGCATCATCGTCGCATCAAGATCATCGGTATCTCTTTTATTGTTGTAACAATTTTTACAATTGCTCTCGTTTTGGTGCTAAAATTTGCCATTCTTGTACTCAAGAATCCAGAAACCACCACCACCGCTACACCAGGTCCATTAACAATAACAACAACAATGTCGATACTATCAAAACCAACAACAATATCAATGCCATCATTCACGACGACAACAGGACGGTTAACGACAGCCACACGAATAACCACAAAAATAACACCACAAAGCACAACATCAACTCAGCAGCCAGGTAAGCTTCAGAGTAACGCTCCTTTATCTCCCTATATGCTAACTTTAAAACAGGTACATGTAGGTGCTTTGGACCCGATATTATTATGCAATTATCCAAGCAAAAAATTCTCTATGGAGTGGATCTAGCTCCAACACACACGTAACCGGGCGGTTATTCACTTGATCGATCTAGCTAAATGTACCTTTTTACCTAGTTACCTAGCTCCAACCTAGTAGTGAACCGAGCAGTAGGTTATCATAATCGAGTAGGA